AGCAATTGCACTACTGGGTATTCACCCCAAAGTTACAAATGTAGGGATCCGAAGGGGTACGTGCACCCCAATGTTTACAGCAGCAATGTCCACAACAGCCAAACTGTGGAAAGAGCCAAGATGTCCATCGACAGATGAATGGGTAAAGGAGATGTGGTATATATACACAATGGAATATTATGCAGCCATCAAAAGGAATGAGATCTTGCCTTTTGCAATGACATGGATGGAACTGGAGGGTGTTATGCTGAGCGAAATAAGTCCATCAGAGAAAGACATGTATCCTATGACCTCACTGATATGAGGAATTCTTAATCTCAGGAAACAAACTGAGGGTTGCTGGAGTGGTGGGGGGTGGGAGGGATGGGGTGGCTGGGTGATAGACATTGGGGAGGGTATGTGCTATGGTGAGCGCTGTGAATTGTGCAAGACTGTTGAATCACAGATCTGTACTTCTGAAACAAATAATGCAATATATGTTAAAAAAAAAAAGAAGAAGAAGAAGATAGCAGGAGGGGAAGAATGAAGGGGAGTAAGTCGGAGGGGGAGACGAACCATGAGAGATGATGGACTCTGAAAAACAAACTGAGGGTTCTAGAGGGGAGGGTGGTGGGGAGATGGGTTAGCCTGGTGATGGGTATTAAAGAGGGCACATTCTGCGTGGAGCACTGGGTGTTATGCACAAACAATCATGGAACACTACATCCAAAACTAACGATGTAATGTATGGTGATTAACATAATAATAAAAAAGAAAAAAATTAACAAAAAAACAAAGGGGTATCAACCAGTTATAAAGTAAGATCTGTTGTGTCCCAATCAGAAAAAAAAACTATTAAGGAAGGGTGAGAATAGGAGAAATTATTAAGCAATTACTTTTGGAGCTCCCCTTCTGCATTTCCGTTTAGGCTGTGGATATCTATAAGAGAATGTCACTCCTGCCCCACTAATAAGAAAAGGCCAGGAACCTACAAAATCATAACTTTTCTTGAACTCATTAGAAATATGAGGTCATAAGGCAATAAAGTAAGCGATTCCCAAAAGGTGACAAGCCCCTTCAAGAAGAAACAGGACACAAAACCATCTCTCCTTTGGCAGATCACAGAAAAAAGAGAATGCTTCTATAAAAGTTAAAAATAAGAAGTCACTGAAGAGTTTCAAAAATGCTTAAAGGCCAAGAAGAGCCTATCATGTTGGTTTAAAATTGCTAGGAGTCCCAGATACAAGGGACACATTTCCAAGTTATTTCCCACAAACCTTCACTGGGTGCTCACAAAAAAGACGGGAGACAGAGAAGCAGACCTAATAATGTTGGCATGCGGCTGAGACATAAGCATGAAGCCCTTCCAGGTCTCCAAACCTTTTTTTAATAGGAAACAAAAGGCTTAAACTTTTGGATATATGAGTTGCAAACTTTCTCATCCCAAGAACCCATGCAAAAATCCACTGTTACTGGAATAGGGATTGAAGTGAAAACCCTCTGCCCTTGGGAGAAAGGGTAGGGAAACTTTTTGGACCCAGCATCTTACTCCAATACTAAGCAGAGATCTGCTGCCACTAGAGAAGGGTCAAGCACCTGACAACAGAGGTCTATCTTGCATCACAGACATGCGGGCACTGTTGAAAGCTGCAAATGAAACAGAAACACTGAAAAATGTCCTCCAGCACCCCATCTTTCCTTTCGGCACACAGTAAAAATATTCCACTTCTGGAAGAATTTGAACGCTATGCAACACTAAAAATTAAAATAGAAACAATAAAATCCAAACCCAGCTCAACTCCTGATTAGATTAATTTAACCTTGCATAGTAATGGCCTGAAAAAAGAAGAGGTATGCCCATTTCTGTGTATAAATATTTTTTACTTGAAAAAAAATAAAAAACAAATATTGTTTACCTGAGTCTCTATTGTTCTTATATACATTCTGTCCAGTATTCAGTGATAAATTATGAGATACACAAAAAGCAAGAAAGACTAAACCATTGCTTTATTTCTCGATAAAGAGACACCGGGTTCAGAGAGAAATCAGATATTAGAAATAACAAACAGGGAGTTTGGAATAACTATATTTGATATGTAAAATGATCTAATGGAAAAGGTAAGCAACATATTAAACAGATGGGGAATTTTCTCACCAAGATGAAAATTATAGAGTCAGAGAGAAATGCTGGAAATAAAAAACAATATCAGGGATGAAGAATTCCTTCACTAGGCTCATCAGAAGACTGGACACAGCTAAGGAAAGAATCAATGACTAAAAGATAATGACAATAGAAACTACCTAAACTGAAACACAAAAGAAAAAAAACAAAGCAAAACCAAACAGTATGTGTAAAGAGCTCTGAGACAACATATGGTCACAAATCATCTAACACATGTGTAATCAGAATCTCAGAAGAAGAGAGAAAGAATTGGGAAGGAGAAATATTTAAAAAGATAATGACGGAGAATTTTTTTTTTTAAGATTTTATTTATTTATTTGAGAGAGAGAGAATGAGAGATAGAGAGCACGAGAGGGAAGAGGGTCAGAGGGAGAAGCAGACTCCCCGCCGAGCGGGGAGCCCGATGCGGGACTCGATCCCGGGACTCCAGGATCATGACCTGAGACGAAGGCAGTCGCTTAACCAACTGAGCCACTCAGGCGCCCCATGACGGAGAATTTTCTAAAATTAATGAAAGACAATAAGCAATAGATCCAAGAATCCCTCAAACCCCAAGCAAGGTTAAAAAAAATACCTAGATATATTATAGTTGAACTATTGAAAACAAAACATAAAAAGAAAATATTGAGGGCAGCCAGAGGTAGGGGTTGGGAAGAGTTTAAACATAGAGCAACAGAGACAAGAACTGAAGCACCCTTCTTGGAAAGTATGCAAAGCCAGAAGACAATGAAGTAACATCTTCAAAATACTGAAAAAAAAGAAATGAATTTTTAACATCTTAGATGTGATAGTAGTACTGTGGTATTACATATTTTTTCTCAACAGCCTTTATACTTAAAGATTCACACTAGGGATTGTTCCACACTAATCGGAGAGAAGAGCTCACCTCGTAGATGAAGGTAGAGATAAAGCAAGATTGACCATTAGGTGACGATGATTGAAACTAGGCGATAAGCAGGTGGGAATTCAATGATATTCTCTCTACTCTCATACAATTTTTTGAATTGCCATAATAGAAAATTTTGTAAAGAAATGGAAATTTTAAAATATTTTTTATTTGAGTACAGTTGACACACAATGCTACATTAGTTTCAGGTATACACATAGTGATTCAACTTCTCTATACGTTATGCTATGCTCACCACAAGGGTAGACAGAATCTATCACCATACAACACCATCACAATACTACTGACTATATTTCCTATGCCGTGCCTTTCATTTCCATGACTTATTCATTCTATAACTGGAAGCCTGAATCCTCCACTCCCCTTCACTTACTTTGCCCATCCCTCTACATCCCCTTCCCCTCTGGCAACCACCAGTTTTTTCTTTGTATTTAAGAGTCTAGTTTTTTTGTCTCTTTTTTTCTTTATTCATTTGTTTTGATTCTTAAATTCCACATATGAGTGAAATTATACAGTACTCTGGGTCCATCCATGTTGCAAGATGGCAAGATCTCATTCTTTTTATGGCTTAGTAATATTCCACTGTGTGTGTATATATGTATATTCCACATTTTCTTTACCCATTCATCTATGGATAGACACTTGGTGATTTTGCTTTTTGTTTTTTTGTTCATTTGTTTTGTTTTTTAGATTCCACACTTGATCTTAGCCAAAAGGCCAAGAAACGATTGTGTTTTACATTCCACATATGAATGAAATCATATAGTATTTATGTTTCTCAGACTGACATTTCACTTGGCATAATGCTCTCTCAGTCTATCCATGCTGTTGCAAATGGAACAATCTCATCCTTTTTATGGCTAATATTCCATCACACACACACACACACACACACACACACACACACACACACACGCATCTTCCTTATCCATTCATCTGTCAATGGACACTTAGGTTGCTTCCATATCTTGGCTATTGTAAATAATGCTGCAATGAACATAGAGGTGCATATATCTTTTCAAATTAGTGTTTTCATCTTCTTAGGGTAAATACCCACCATATACAAAAGTAAACTCCAAATGGGTTAAAGACCTAAGTGTGAGACCTGAAACCATAAAAATCCTAGAAGAGAAAACAGGCAGTAATTTCTCTGACACCGGTCACAGCAACATTTTTCTAGATATGTCTCCTAATGCAAGGGAAACAAAAGCAAAAATAAGCTATTGAGACTACATCAAAATAAAAAGCTTTTGCACAGGAAAGGCAACCATCAACAAAACGAGAAAGGCAGCCTACTGAATGGGAGAAGATATTTGCAAATAATATATCTGATAAGGGGTTAATATCCAAAACATATAAAGAACTTAGGCAACTCAAGACCAAAAAACCCTAAACAATCTGATTTAAAAATGGGCAGAGGACCTGAATAGACATTTTCCCAAAGAAGACATACAGATGGCCAACAGACACATGAAAGGATACTCACATCACTATCATCAGGGAAAGGCAAATTAAAACCACAATGAGATGTCACCTTACACCTGTCAGAATGGCTAAAATCAAGAACACAAGAAACAACAGGTGTTGGCGAGGATGTGGAGAAAGGGGAACCCTCAACGCACTGCTACTGGGAATGCAAACTGGTGCAGCCACTTTGGACAACAGTGTGGAGGTTCATCGGAAAATTAAAAATAGAATTACCATATGATCCCAAAATTGATTTAAAAAAAAAAAGAGAGAAAAACATGGCCAGAAGATATGAGTGTATCATTGCACATATCCCATTAGGTTTCTCTGATTTTTTTTCCTCTAATTATCTCTCCCCATACATAGCCTTTGGTTCACAGTGGGGTCACAGGTCTCCAAACTGGGGTCACACAGGGCTGCAGCCACAGCCGCCCTCTCCAGTGATGTCACCCCAGCAAAACCTACCAGTGCCAAAGCTCTCTTCTCCACACAGAGAGCACCGTCCCGAGTCCATCAGATTGGAGAAGAATCTCCATCCCGCTGGGGTCTCATATACAGGGACCTTCATTGATTTGGCCACTCTGAAAAATGAAATTCAAGGCAACAGTCAATTCATATATCTCTTCTCCTTTCTTTTCTCAGCACAGAAGTAAGTCTTTAGAATTTATTAATTCTATAACTAGATTTCAGAACATTCTGGACAGTGTTGACATTTTTCAGGATGTTAAAAGCCATAAGGTAGAAAATGATAAATAATCTATTCCAGTGGTTCTCAGTTTTGCTTTCCCCATAATATATAAAATATTGAATTAATGTAGAGGATATTCTCACATTTATGTTTCCCTTCTATAAATGTTCCTTTATCTTCACGGTAAGATCCCACTTGGGGATCTCAGAATCTAAATTAAGAGGGAGTTTGGGTCTAAGCACGTTGGAATATTGTTTGACAATATCTACTAAAGATGAATATACACATATCCTATGACCCAGCAATTCAACTCCCAGAAATTACTAATGACATGTAGTGGACACTGTGGTGTACAGCTCTGCTTCACTGCCCCCCCCCCACCACACACACAAGGACTTTTAGGATTGGAAAACTCCTTCTACCAGCTCCTAGAAATGTTGATGGCTAACAGCTCACAGACATGGTCTCCACTCTCTGCCAAAGACAGATGTCACACTCAAAATCATGCTCCCTTTCCTGGGTCAATCCACATCCAATGGCTGGTAAATGGGGATGTATAAAGGTCTAGCCTCCTTGCACCTGTTTGGCACAACTCTGTGGGACCATTTCAGCTCTAGAGCTCCCCATAAGTTGGCTGAGGCCTTTGCCAAGACTGCACCGCAGTCCAGCTTCTCTCTTGGGGTCCTATTCCCCTTCCGCGCTCCCCCATAGGTACTGATCTTAAAGACAACTTTGGTCCTGACGGCAGAAAGGAATAAACTTCTTGCAAGCAAATCTCTCTCAGGGCTACTACCTGGGGAACCCAGTGTGTGACATTACTCAACAGAATATATACACAAGATTTTACAAAAATGATCACAGAATCACAGTTCGTAAGAACCGAACAAACCAAATGTCCATTGAGTAGGATGGACAGATGATTTGTGATATATAATGCACTACCATAAATTTCATGGAACAAACTTGCTACATGCAACAACTTGGATGAATCTCACAAACATTATGTTAAGTAAAAGAAACTGGGAACAAGAAAATATACACTGTATTGTTCCACATAGATAAACTTCAAGAACAGCTAAAACTAATTGGTGCTGTCACAATTCAGGCTCAGGGGATCAGAGAGGTCAAGTGTTTTGTTTAAGGTTTCACAGAGGTAAGAGGCAAAGCTAGAATTTGGACCCAAGTCTGCCTAATTTCTGCTCATGTTCCATTCCACCATATTATGTTGTCTTCCCACATGTTCTAAGAGATATGTAGAACTCAGATTATGTTGGGGAATGATCTGCTACTGTACCATTGACCTAAAGAGTTTCAGCTTTCCCACATGCAAGCAACCAAAAAGCAAAAACATCAAATGTCTGCCACCAGCAAGATTTAGTTTTTCAAAGGCTGTAAGTGCAGGAGGTAGCCAGAGAAAGGAACCAGTGAGGGTATCTTGGTGAAGAAGAGGAAGAAAGGTGCACAGAGGACAAAAGACACAATGTAATAATGATTTCTTTAGGTTTGTTTTGTGGCCAGCTAAAGAAAAAAAATATCTAGAAACTCTTGCTACAGGAAAGTGAACACCTTCCCTTCCATAATATCTAAATATAACTGGATGTGTTCAGGATCTTGAAAAATTGTGTGCTAAATCTCTTTCGAGTTCGCTTTGAAACGAAGCACTTTTTAGATGTTCGGGTATTACATCAAAGGTTCTGTTGTTGTTGTTGTTTTAATGGGCTAAGAAAGATAGACAATCATACTTCTAGCCTGGTAGGAACAATGAAGTAAATCCTCCCCGAACTGTAGATCAAAGGTAAATTTTCATAGCCATTAATGTCATAGTCAGAAGCTGAAGGAAGGAGGAATAATTCACACAAAAGCTTCCCAGAGTCAGCACATAGAAAGCCTAGGTCAAAATTAATGTAGCAAATATGAAAGCATATGATTACCAAATAGAATGTGCAACATGGAGTAGATGTAAGGGTGAGAAAAAGGGTAGAGAGTCTGGGGACATATATTTTTTTCTAGCTAAAGCGTTCTTGTAGGTTCAAAGCCAAGTTGGCAGATCTGAAGGGAGGAGAAAGGATTTCCCTTGCTCCCACCCTTCCCAATTAATCACTGTCTGGAGGTCACCAGGCTGAGGGCTGAGGCTGGATTTTAAAGGACCGGATACTTCTATAACTAAGCCACGGTTGTAGCTACACAAGCTAGGATAACAATGTGGGTAATTAAATTCTGGGATCCTGAGCATGAGCTGATTGTGCTCATGTGTAGAGTCAGAAAGGAATTCCCCTCCCGCCCTCCCTCTACTGAACCTGGGATCCATCCCCAACACTGCATTCAGCAGATATCATGCTCTAGGCTGGTTTTTGGCAGGAGACCCCTGGAGATTTTCTGAAAACTTAAAATGAAGCTGCTCATGCTGAGGGTCATCACCCTTCTTGACTGCTGCCACCATGTGTTGGAGACAAACATAAGAACTCACTTCCTAGGAAAGACCAGAGTATGAAGAAAAAGAAAGAAAATCAGTCTCGACCACAATTTTCCTGCAAGCGGGAGTTGAGTTCTGGTAATTAAAAAAAATAAAAACAGGGGCACCTCGGTGGTGCAGTCAGTTAAGTCTTTGACTCTTGGTTCCAGCTCAGGTCGTGATCTCAGGGTCCTGAGATTGAGCCCTGTGTAGGGCTCCACACCCAGCATGGAGTCTGCTTAAGATTCTCTCTCCCTTTCTCTCTGCCCCCTCCCTCCTCGTGCTCTCTCTCTGTCTCAAATAAGTAAACCTTTAAACAAACAAACAAACAAAAAGAACCATGGTGGATGCAAACTGCTCAGTGTGATTTTTAAACTTCTAAAACTGTGGCTCTGGGTTGGAAACAGCTTCAACTTATCTTTCCAACAGTTTCTCTCATGAAAGTCACTACAAACTCCTAATAACTGGATAATCTCTTATTTTTCAAATTTGCTCTTTCATTTTTGCTATTGTTGGCTACTCCTTAGTCCTTCTTCATGCTTTCCATTTTACCTGGATTAATCCTTTCCAATCTCTGTCAAAATCCTTCACGTTGCTTCAAGACCTATCTTAAGTGCCCTGCCACTGTGAAGACGGTGGCAAAGGCTGCTAGGTGACCAACAAACCCATCTCTTCTCCTGGACACACAGCTGGACTATACTTCCCAACCTCCCTCCCAGTTAGCTGTGGCCACAGGGTGGAGTTCCAGCCAATGGAACTTGAGTGGAAATGACATACACCCTTTGCAGATCTGGCTATTAAACTTTCCCATCCTCCATATTCTTTCTCCTTCTGCCAGCTTACAGTGGACAAGCCGAGCAAACCCAGGAGCTATACATTGAAGATGGCAGACCCACAGTATGGAAGGATCCACGTCTCTAAATTACCATTTGGAGCAGAATCAACCACCAATCAGAAACACCTGTTTTTAACTTTTGATGACTGAGAATATTGTCTTATAGAAGCAGCTCCATTATCTTAGTCAATATAACCCTTCCTTATCATTACAATCAATCCAAAGTAAGCCTTCCTGCTACATTTCCTCTCACTTGGTATAGGTCTTTATGTTTACGTTGTCATTGCTGATGTTGTCACATCCTTAACACTTTTCTTCCACACACAGATACACACTACTGTCACCACCAGCATTAGAAATTCTTTGAGGCAGGAACTACATCTTATATACATTTATAGCTCTTCAATGTTTAGGATAATATAGAACGTTGTCAGATTTGCCCTTAATAAATTCTGTATCATTTCAGTTGACTAATATCTATTATTTAAGGGGTGTTATTGGATAGCAGGGGGCAAAGTATCTCTAATTTTGTGGTCTTTTTTTCTTGTAGTTTCCTAAAAATATAACTAAGTCATCTCTGCATGTTTTATTTACTTATTGACTTTAAAAGATTATTTATTCACTTATTTGAGAGAGTGTGAACGGGGAGAGGGACAGGGAGAGAGGGAGAGAGAGAATCCCAAGCAGACTCTGTGCTAAGCGTTGAGCTCCACACGAGGCTCAGTCTCACAACCCTAAGATCATGACCTGAGCCAAAATCAAGAGTCAGACGCTTACCAACTGAGCCACCCAGGCGCCCCACCATGTGTTTTATTCAAATTCGTCATTTTGAGAAAGAGAATTTCACAAGATGTTGATTAGTGGGATTATCAGGATGAGACAAAGGCATTTCTTGGAAATAGAGATCTCACAGATTTAGGGCAATGACTAACTGAAAATCAAAGGTGTGAAGAGCAAGAGAATACATTTTTCTGTTTTACCAGTCTGGCCATCACCCTACCTCATGTGATCAAACAAGATAACAGATACAAAAGCATCCTAACCATACCCTAAAAGCTCACCAAATTAAGGGGGTCTGACATATCCATCTTTGTGCTTCCAGCACAATGCACGGTCACAGTCGCTATTCAAATATCTATTAACCTAATTATAAAGTACTACATCATTATGTGTGATATACTCTACTGGAATATCAATGATTAATGACTCTCTTTTAGCATGTGAGCCAAATAAAAAATGATTGGTTTTTATCAAGCATATGAAGCATACCCAGCTGCTCTTGGAATCCTACTTCAACAAAGCTGCAGTAGACTTAAAGAGAACAAGATCCAGGTTCCTCTTCTTTTGATTTATCTTCAAACGTCCACTTTCTTGAAAGCCAAGCAGGGCTCATGACTCTGTTTTCTACACACCGAACTCTTAGCCCCATTTTTAAACGCCCCCAATAGCATAGAGTAAATATTTGCATCACATATATCCAACAAAAGACTTACATGCAGTTTATATTTTAAAACTCTTATATAGGGCGCCTGGGTGGCTCAGTTGGTTAAGTGTCTGCCTTCGGCTCAGGTCATGATCCCAGCATGGGGCTCCCTGCTCGGTGGGA